AAAGAAAGCTTTCAATATCCACAATGTCCAAGAATGATAGAATACAAGATTGCGCCAATCGAGCTGAGAGCAACTGGCCGTGACGTCAAAAAATACCAGAATGAGAGAACAAGACGAACTCGACAAGAAAAAGAGGAAGCATCGACCAAAAGGCAGTGTTGCCAAGTTTTGACTTTGAAAAAGCACCAAATTTTTATTGGTGTATTTAATGGACTTTATATGAATACATAATTTTATTGTAAGGATGCCGATTCAAAAATCAATGTTTCTTGCACAACGGTCGATTTCTTCTGGCATGGTTGAAGGTGCTGCCACATATTTCTTTGTCACTTATGATTGTCACTGTGCCATGATTTTGTTTAAATTTTTGTAAAATTGCTTACCACACTTACGATTGCTATAAATTTTGCTTCAATTTTTTTAAGATTTTCTAATTTGGTGTCTTCAAACTAAAAACAAAAGCACCAAAAACGCACCAAGCACAAAACTCAAAAATTTTCGCGTTTTGAATACCCACTAAATTTGGTGCGAAAAGCATCAAGTTGGCAACAGTGAATGTAAACAAAAGTATTTTATGACGTCAGCGATTGGGTGGATGCTGTCAAATCGACGAAGAGAGGGTTAGCGGTCCGCGAATGGCGCGACCTTTATTTTCTGGATCGTGCACAATGTCTGCACTCCAAGAATGATAGAATACAAGATATCGCCGATTGCAGCAGAATTCGTGAGAGTAATTTTGGCGTGACGTCACCGTAGAGTTGACAACTGAGAGCGGCAAATAAAACTGCTTCTGTAACCAGTTAGCGACAACAAAACCGATACCGATTTGAAAATTGTTGCTAACTAATCTGTCTCTAACTGGTTACAGAATCTGCCTACAAAAATGATATCGTCCGATTCAGCTTCAAACAAGTAAGAGTTTCTCTGTATTATGGCCTCGAACCGATATATATACATCTTTCATTTGAATCAGTATTAAAAGCTCTATTGGTTCCTACATTCGGGCTTTGATAGGCGAGTCTCCCCTGAACCGTTTTTTCCATATTTTTGTCATATGTGCGCTTTTATTCGAAACCTAAATGTTTCGGTACCGAGTACCGAGAGTAATGGACGGATGAAGAAGTCTTTCAGGGGGGAGATTCTGTAACCAGTTAGCGACAAGCTTCGGATCGATATCGCACTTGTTGACGTAAAAATATTTCATATCATACGTTAACAAAACCGATACCGCTTCGAAAATTGTCGCTAACTAATCTGTCGCTAACTGGTTACAGAATCTGCCTACAAAAATGATATCGTCCGATTCAGCTGAAACAAAAACGCTTCAAACAAGTGAGAGTTTCACTGTATTATGGCCTCGAAATGACATCTATACGTCTTTCATTTGAATCAGTATTAAAAGCTCTATTGGTTCCTACATTCGGGCTTTGGTAGGCGAGTCTCCCCTGAACCGTTTTTCCATATTTTTGGCATATGTGCGCTTTTATTCGAAACCTAAATGTTTCGGTACCGAGTATAGAGAGTAATGGATACTTAAAGGTATTGACTCAGCACATCACTACTGCTGTCATCTCGACTGTGAAGTCAGCAAAACAGCTGATTCTGTCAAATTCATTGAGTGCCGATTAGCGGTATTGCCATCGGCGCCACCTTCTGTCTTCTCTCCACCGTGTCTGCACTCTTCACTGTGGGCACATCATTTGTGCAGTGTTATCTTAAAAAGGGTTGGTATATGTGTCGAACCAATGAGAACTTATTCAGTAGCGATTAGTATGTACTTTCTAGAATAGAATATCTTCACATTTGTAAGAAATTTCATGCAATAGATTTACGCTCACTAACTAGTGTCCAAGAAATACCAAGGATACGCGAATAGAAAAAAACCAAAACATATGTATGTATATTGGGTTCAATATTTGTATATTAGCAGTTAAAATTCGGTTGATGTACTTACATATGCGATATAAAAAACAGCCAACTGATAGTGGAAACATCATCTTTCTGTAGTCTGAACCGTTTTATGACATTAGCTATTCATCATCCGTAGAGCTGCAAAACTATCGATGACACTATCGATAGTATCAATTTGACACCACTATCGATGAAGCAAAGAATTGCCAAAAATCCACAATAAGCCCTAGCCACTTCAAACTTGCATTTTTTTACTAAAACTTAATGGACTACAAAAGCGTATACTCAAAATTTTTCTGAGAAATCTAATTAAAAAACTAAATATTTTGATGACTCGAAAACTTCGAATTTTCCTTGTTTTAGTAAATTGTTTAAAATTTACACTTGGAACGCGTTTTTTTGTTGCTTAAAATAACTTATTTTATTATTTATAATAAAGCACACTAAAACGTTGATTAAAACTAACATTTCTGTTTTTTTCTACTTATATTACCATATTTAATATAAATAGTGCCGTAGTAAGGATAGCATATTTTTTCTCATACCGATAGTTTCGATACTATCGAATGGTGAGGCCAAAAGCTATCGGAAATATCGAATAGTCCATCCATCGATAGTTTTGCAGCTCTAAACATCCGGAAGTCTTATAACTAAGTAGGTTAGCTCATAGTGAAATAAGAACTAAACTATTAACTATTGGAAAAACTTACACAAGTTAAGCTTTAGCTATTGGCTAGGTTGGAGAAGTAGCTACCACTACTAACTGAGGTACACGTATACAGGGAGAGAGATTGGACGGTGATTGCGCAAAAAATAGTCCTGAAAGCGGCTAAGGGCCACCTTCACCAAGTTTGGTTAACACTAACTCCTAGTTGAACATCGTTATCGACATTACGGACTCTATGATATATGTGTTACCGGCCAAACCCAATCTTACGACAAACTAGTTTTTCTTAAGCTAAACTAGTTCTAACTAGATCTACTATATCTTGTTTCCGCGCTGGACGCAACAATATTGTGGACTGCGTAGCTGGAGTTGGACTGATGAGGGTTATTTTTTTGAAGTGCGGCCGAAGCCCGCCACCGCGGGAAGGTGTTCTGCACAAAAATACGGTGTCCCCTAATCTGGTTTAGCCTAGGCAAAACTAGTTTGTCCTAAGATCGGGTTTGGCCGGTAACATATGCATGGAGACGGTAGCGTCGATAACGATGTTTAACTCAGAATTAGTGTTAACCAGAGATTAATGCTTTGGCGTTGGCGTCGCTTCAACAGCTGACTATGAATACATGAATTCCAATGCCAACACGAAGTAGAAATATGGCCAACTCTCAAATTTTCGTGTGCGTTGTTTGTCAACAGTTGCAAAATAAATAAAATTATGTGAAATATGTTTCCTTTTAAACAAATGCGAGCAAGAAATATCGTTATCAATGCAATTATTGATATGAAATGTTAATTTATTTGGCGTTATTAGGTTAATTTAGTGCCCAAAGCATTCGCTGCCAAGCGTTCATTGTAGCAAGCATACTTTAACGTGCGTTCGGTCAAACCAACGCCAACGCCAAAGCCAACGCGAAAGTTCTATGTGAACCGGTCTTTACTGTCTGTCCGTCCGTCTGTGCACACTATAACTCGGGTAAAAATTTAGATATCTTAACGATACTTGGTACGTGTACTGCTTTTCAGAGTGGAACGGATGGTATTGAAAATGGGCGAAATCGGACTGTAACCACGCCCACTTCCCATATAACGGTATTTGGTGGAAATACGAAAGCTGCGATATTTCAGTAACTACGAAGCGTATTCACTCAAAACTGGTATTTAGAAGGACATTTTGGTGAAAAAAAAGAATATTATAAACGTTGGAACAATGGGCGTAGCCCCAATTATAATTACTTGTATATATATCGGTAACCGGTAAATTGTCGTGGCTCCGTCTACTTATAACCACATAACGCCAGATAAATTTTAAACCCTACTTGAAAAAACGGCTCTAAGGCAAACTGAACATACTATCGAAGATGTTTGAAATTGGGGTAAAACCACCCCTGCTTGCAATATAACGGTTGTTTTCTAATAGATGAATCAACTATCTTTAAACGTGCTCCAGGGATTTCATTTTCGACTTCGCCTGAGCTAATTTTGATTTCGTTTCTACCGAAAAATTTTGCCTTTGCTTTGGTGTTCGTTTCTTTAATTGTGGTACAAAACTCAACTCAACTTTGAAAACGAGTTGTCTGTTAGTTGTCTAGCACTAGCATCCTCGGGCTCATCGGTAAAACATAATTCGTAACTGATCACCATTTTTTTGCTTTTAGCAATAATAGTTTTAATATCACTAAAATAACATAATATTATGAAAATAACAAAATTTGTATCGAATTTCCGACTTTTTCAATGGCTACACTCAATTGAAAACAGTTGTGAACGGCAATAGCAATAATTAGTTTAGTTGTGTACAAGCTGAGTTGTCTCAGATACAACTCAACTAAGTTGAATTGTGAACCATAATAGGGGCCGATATCACCATTAGATTTCTTTACTTGTTCTTATGTATACCCTTAAAGGTAGGTATAATCCATTAAATTTCCTTTACTTAATTTCAAATCAGGTCCACTGTATTTGATATGTATTTCTACAGTCGTTCGTTGGGTAGTTGCTGGTTTTACTGCTGTGCTGATATTTACCACTTTTGCTGTTGTCGTTGTTACTGTTGTTTTTTGCTGTCATTAATTTAACCGATGTTGCTGCTATAGCCGCTTTTATTATAAATTTTAGTTGCTTGTTTTGTGCTTGTATCACTAGTACATACACGAATATGTATGTATGCATGTGTGCATGTGTTTTCTGCTGCTTTAGAGGTTTTAGTCGACATTGACGTTACCATCGCATGCTTTACCTTCAGCCCGACGTCCCACACGTCCCTACATCGATCGACTGTCGCCTGCCATTTACCCTGTTTTGCCTTTCGTACTCTACTGTTATCATCATTTCAGGTCGGCCCGTCGGTCGTCCGTCTATCCGACCGTTGCCAGTTAAGCAACCAGACAGCCAACCATAGCTAGCAAACGAGCGCACACCATTCAACTCAGCAGCACTAGCACCAATTCAAGTCAACTCGCTTCAGTTCATTGCGATTCGTTGCGATGTAGCCCGGTCTGGCCTGGCTTGGCTTGGCGCGGCACAACTTTTGCTTGTGCGGAGTTTCTTGTTTTCCTTCTCGTTGTGGCGTAGTACTCATAGTCGACGTTGCTTGTCGTAATTTTTGTCGATTTTATTAATTCCCCTCTCTCCACTTGGTTTTTATTTTATTTTTGGTTGGTTTCATTTAATTTTTTTCTTCTTTTCTTTTGTGTGTGCTTTAAGTAATTTTGTTAGTTCTTCGGTTCGCATTCGAAATACGCTTTACTACGAACATAGAGCTACAATTCAGTGATTTTGGTTAGTAAAGGAAAGCTCTTAAGTCAAGTTAGAATATGATCTAATTGCTTGTTTGGTTCTTAAAAGTTCAGTTACCTTAATTCATTGTAAAACAGTAATGGGAAGAGAGCTTTAACTATGTATGTATACGTATCTACAAAATATACAGAATTCTTGGAGAAGATCTGCTCGCTGTAGAAGGTGGTGCCCACGCCTGATGAAAAAACTGTGTTCTAAAGTCAGAAGTGAAGTATAGAAAATCTACGCATTTAATTTTTAAAAATCCTATTGAACGATACAAATTTTTAAAATTTTATATGTTTCTACTCTAAGTTATCTCATATGCCTATCTCACCGAAAATCCTTCCTTTATACTTTCAGGGCCGGATCAAGATGTAATAGGTACTGCTGGCACCGAAAGTTCCTGGTTTACCTCAGTCTCAGTCTCAGCCGAAAGCGAAAACGGCCGACATAAGCAGTTATCAAAGCTTTCGGAAGGTAGTTAAAGTTTACAGCAATGGCACACAACAGATGCAATCGGTACTATCAACATTAGAACCAGAGTACCAACAGCGGGTAGTCCAAAGGCTAGTTCCTCTCGCAATATTTATAGAAACGAACCGTGGGACATGCAGCGCAACCTCCAAACGTCCTGCGCCCTCCAGCAATAAGCTCATCACCCAACGAATAGGATTTGATAAGCTTGCTTGCACAGGACTTTACAAGAAATAACTATTTCCCAAGCCGCATCTTCGATTCCCGTATTGCTGCTTTAGTTCAGTCAGGCTGTTTGAATGGACTAGATCCAGAGAAGCGCTGTTGGATGGATGAAAGGCGCTAGTTTCCATACCGAGCATTTCTACGTATCTAATAAAGTACTTCACATCGCCCGCGGCCACCTCATCAAGAGTTGGAACTTGGTATGAATGAGCAGAATACTGTTCCAACAGAAGCGTTATGCTTGACTATATAAGATACCTCACAGACGAGGTTAACGACAAGTTTTTATCTACATATGTATATGCACTTATACGTATTCCAACACTAGGGCTATTGTTTGCGAGACTACATTTATAAACAAGGAATAGCCCTTTTCTAACAATTGTGAGAGGTAACGGTAGTGACACCTTGCTAGTTGAGGGTCCCTCTTTACTTCCGTCGGCCTACATGAGCGTGATCCAAAGAGCCAACGGTTATCTATATGCCCCGCGTGCTACTGAGCTCCTGTAGATCTCTTGTGACCTAGAGTAAAATGTTCGGCTTGATTCCGGAACGAGCCTCTAAAATGTAAATCTCTCTTTATTTCTTGGAAATATCACTCTCCTCCAGTTAACTTCTTTACATTACATTCTTAGGTCCCTAGACACCAGAATGACAGCAAAATCGGATGGTTTATGAGCCTCATAGTTTCTCACAACAGCAACAGAGCTTCACCTACATATATATGTACATAAAAGGGACTATTTCTCAAAAAGCTTGTTTTGAAGTTAGGCATTTTATGCATTTATTGATTGCATTAGGGAAATTTTCAAACTAAGGCAGCTAAGCCTGTGCTGGTTGGTGGTGTAGCTGCTGGTGCCATGGGCTGTTAAGTCGTTGCGAGTTTCACTTTGGCGCGCGTGGCACACAACACCACATCGATGGCAATGCGACACACACATACACACACATAAATACATGCATACCCAATTAGCCACAGAACGAAGACGGGCTCGAATCAATTCGACGGCGTTATAGTGAACTCGTCTTATTGAACTTGAGAAACTTTCCGAAATCAGTTCGAGTTTTGAGCCAGTTTAAACTTGTACTCTTTATAAATACTAATTATATAAACGGGATTTAAAATTGGCTTTTTAAAAATGGCTTTTTAATTCTTAAAATTCATTGAAAAATATGGACCTACAAAAAAGAACAAAATGAACTAATTTAAATAATTTTTTAAAAAGAAATAATTTTTTTTTTGTGTTCTTGTATATTTGTTTTAACAGAGAAAATAAGCAATACCCCTGAAGATGCTAGAAAAGGTTTAGCGAAACTTCGGGTAAAAAGTGGAATAATGTAATTTTCTTTGCCTACTAGCCTATAAACATAAAATTAAACAAATTTGAACCGATCGGGCAAAAATATATAAAAAAAAAAATGTGTTTTAAAATTGTAGTATGGCATACATTTTTAGTGGTTCGCCTACGTGTCTTATTTACAGGCCGCCGGCGAACTGTGCCTTTCATCTTCTGACGAGTTCAGCAGCGAGGCATCGACGATGAACGGTGGCGTACAAATTGTTCACCAGAAAGTTGACGTCGATACGAAGTCATTTGGCATATTGGGTATTTATACTTACATACGAACTAAGTATATACACAAGTATTTATTCGCCCATTTTCGTACGTCGATTCGTTATATCGTGGATGGAACGTCCTCGAACAAACTCAAAGTACACAAAGCACCGGTTGCAACAATAACAAACAGGCAATCGAGCAATAACGATGGTTCAGACAAACAACAGTAATAGCAGCACGTCAACGGCAACGGCGCAACAGGAACGACTGTGGCTATGGCGGCAACGACAACAGCCGCAATTGACGCTAGTCCGATAGAGTCGGCGGAGCCAAAGTATAAGCTACAGCATTTGCAGCGGTGCTGGGCGATGTACACCGCTCGTTTCTGTAAGCCTAACTAGATGGCTGTTGGAACAAATGCCTGCTTCGTTAGCACCGCAATGCTGTGTGACTCGGCTGAAGTGGTTTGGTTGATGTGGCGCGACAAAGTAATCGCATGTAGGTACAGTGGTGCAGTGCCACTCTGGTTCGATTAGGACTTTTCGCTTCTAAAGCCAAATACTGCGATATAATTCCATGATCTACTCAAGGTTTGATTAATTAAATTGCAACAGATGTCTTCGTCAGGCATTGGGGAGCATCCATAGACAATTAGTTGAAGCGAAAGGCCCGCCCGCGCCAGGTCCGCCAATGAAGAACGTTCGTCAGGCAACGCGACGTCGAGACTATCCAGTTCAACGGATAGCCGAAAAATGTCGCAATCGGCTCTCAGTACTGCAAGAAACTCTTCTTTGACGTGATATAAATGAGCAGTAGCAATCCATCTCCCAATCTCTTCGTGCCGCTGCGGAGGAAGTGGTTGGATACTACCGCCCACGCAAGAGGAACTGTTATTGCCGGACAGTATCGTATTTCTGCTGCGGAGAAATATACAGCACACAAAGCAACCGTGCAGCCAATAGCTATGCGGGCGACAGGTTAATGGTACCAGGGGATGAGGATATAGCAGAGAACTTTATTCAAAAGATATACCAGAGGCTGAAAGACGTGAATGCGAAGGGTTTCAAATGTTGGCAGACAGGAATGCGGCTCGAAAATTCTATAAGAAAATAAGGCAGCAATCAAATGGTTTCAATACCGGGGCTGGGGAGGCCATCAATAAGGCGGCTTAAAAGTATCGTGACTACCGGAGCCGACCGTATACCGGCTCCGGCGGCGAAGAGGTGGTCGGCCGCCCGAAGATTGGAATCTCAGGGTACCTTATCCAATTCACAAGAAGGGAGATCCCGAAGTTTACGCAATACTGCTTGAAAGACCCAAGCCCTTCAGGAACCAAATGATTTGACTTACTCAGTGTTGCTTCAGACCTAGTATGTCAGCCAACTTTCAGCTCCGGGAAAATCGGGACGGACCTCTCCGTTAGAGACCAAACGAGGCTCTATATAAAAGGCGATTCACTCTCGTGCTGGAAAGGTCATAAGAGCTGGCAATCCGGGTCGCAGCGGCACCACACATAGCAAAACCTGACCTGAAACCCAGTAATTCAGCGCAGCACTCTGCAGCTTAGAAAAAGAAGATAAGAGAGCGGTGAACGAGGACAAGACAAAGTACTTGCTGGTTACACATACAAAGTCTTCGCGTATTAGGACACACGTCAGTGATGACAGTCATAACTCTGAAGTAGCGAAGAATTTTGTCTACCTGGGATCCAGCATAAACATTACCTAAAATTCCAACCTGGAGATAAAGTGAAGAATAACTCTTGCCAACAGTTGCTACTTTGGTCTCGGTAGCCAATTTAAAAGAAAAGCGCCCTGCTGACGAACAAACGAATCTCTCATCATGCCCGTGCTTTTATATGGCGCAGAGATATGGACGATGGGATATTGGGTAAGCGGAGAAAAGATCTTTCGACTACGCACCCATTGGTGGACAGCGAAAGCTATTGCGCTTACGAACTAAATGGAAGGACGAAGTGCAGAAGGACCTGCCCGCACTTGTGATGAACAACGAAAGTTTTTGGTCTCGACTCAAACCAATAAACGGTTGCCAACTATGAAGAAGAAAGCTTTGCTATGAATTTTCTTTGAATTACTTTTACTGCTTTTTTAATATGGTTATGTAAATAAAATAATAACATTTAAGAATTCCCTAAAAGCAAGTAGGGCTAATACAAGGTTTGTTTTCGAAACAAATGGAACTTTTGAAGATACATTTGTCTTTTTTATATGTAAGAGTGTCTGCTTGCTTCTTTCTCTAAGATTTGTCATTGTGATGTAATAATACGGTTTGTGGCGGAAGTTGTGGAGCTTTCAGTAGCAAATTTCGGCAATATTTCCAGGTTGCACAAGCGGTGGGTGCAGCCTTTCAGTATCACTTACACCTCATTTTCTTGCAAGATATCCTTAATCCCAATAACCGATCGGAACATTCATTCATCGCTTAGTCGATTTGGGACAATAATATTAACAATAAATAAGAATATCGCCATAAATACACGACGACAATATTATCTGTAAAGGCACTTAGTATCGTAGGTAAAAATCTACGAAAATAGAAAATGTGTACCGGGAGCAATATGGGTCAACTGAGTTGGCTGAAAATAGTATGGCTGTCTTGTCATGAAATGTGAATGAGATAGAATGCTTTTTCAAAATAGTACCCGTTGGTTTGACGTAGCATATCTTTTTACGATTAAAAATATCTAATTTAAAACAGAGACGTAACTAATATGATGAGATCAGGAAATATTTTTAGCTACCTGAAAAACCGAATCGCCCACTGTTCCCCAACTGCGACTCATATAACATAAGTATGTATAGCCAACAGCTTAACGAACAGAGAGCAACAATAACGATGCAAAAATAATAAAAAACAAAAACAACAGCAGAAAGCTTCCACACACTTCGACAACGACATCACCACCGGCAGTAACAACGGCAATGGCGCGCACCTAGGCACCAGACAACATCAATGCCCGAATGCTACCTCAGCTGCGGTACATTTGTTGAGCCATGTATTGAGGGTATGAAAAATTACGTTTAACTGAAATTCATGGAGAAACCAAATTTAAAAACTAAAAAAAGGCGTCGCAAGTTTGAAAATACTTTTTGCCAGCTGTATGCTAGGGCACACACATACATAAGTTCATATACTTTGTGTATGTATATTTTCTTCTTCTTATACTACTTCGAGTTGATCGCGAACGCACCCATCTTATGACCGACTGCCACTTGAACGCAACGTAAATTTAGAATGCTGAGTGTCGTCATCGCCGGAATGTTTGGCCTTTTCACTTTATTTTTTATTAATTATTGCACTGAGGTATTGATGTGTCTGACTTAAAAATAAACATCTAATTTTCGTTGGAGTCTTCGCATAGAACCGACAGATCGCACCCACTGTCATTGTCATTCGCGCATTCATTCAGTGGTTCACACACGAGCGTAGTAGACTGCACCCGCTCGGGAGATCTAGCTTTTATTTTATGTAGCAGGCATGCGGTCAGTTTGTATACTACTGCCTCATCCAACCCAACCTGTCAGCTTTCCCACCCTTTCATCTATAATTAGCGTACATTCTGAGCGTCCGTCTGTTGATCGTCACTCCAGATTTTGAAGAAGTAAAATCTCTACCAACAAGATCCGTAAGCATAATATGCAAACACGTATGTATGTATGTATGCATGCGGTGGATTTTGAATTCTTCAAACTTTCAGCACATGTGTAGCTTTCTTTAGCTTGTTTCTATTCTTACTTTTCCTGTTGCCGGCATTGCTGCTTTCTTCTAATTTTTTTTAGGTCATATATTAGTCACGGAGCTGCACCAGCAATAATTCTTCCGCCGTTACTTCTCCCCATCAGCTCTTGTAAATTGACGGGAAAAAATCTTGCGCTAATTGTTGCCACTCGTCACAGCGTCGCACCAGCAGGAGCAGTTGTGGCGACTGCAGCTTTTCCATCACTCGCCACTCACAGTTGGATGCCTATGTACACTAGGGTGGTCCAAAATAAACAAGTTTAAAATGTTAAAATGCCTTACCTCCTACGATTTTTCTAAATGGAATAAAAGAATACCCATATTTTTTGTTTAATAAAAAATTATATTTAGAACTGCCTCAAAGCCAATAAAGTTTTAAATGTATTTTATATGGGGAAAAACGTTTTTTCGTCGTAGGGAAAAACGTCGTTTCTTGAAAATCAATACTTTTCGATCGGAAAACTCTGTTTTTCTACAGAAGACCTCCTTTTAGAAAAATGCTGGGGGGGATTAACATTTTAAACTTTTTCCCGCGTGTATTTTTGGATCACCCTACTGTACATACTTACATATGTACGTACATAGGTGATCAGCAACTACTGTGCCTGCCCATCCGCTTTACATAAATGTATATTCCCATTGCTGTCTTCCCGCAGCTGGCCGGCGGTGGGAGCGTGTCCCTTCTGGCTCAGAATTTAATCGATCAATTTTTCTGCAGTTGTTTGTTTTATTAGTTTATTGGGGAATCGAATGCGGTTGCGAGATTCAATTGTGATGTAAATTCGTAACTAGCTATCATCTTTCCTATACACTTATTTGTCTTTGAAGATGTGTTTACTTGAGGCTGTCTCTTTTTTGAAATACAAGATCAACTATCTATGTATTTTCATTTCTAGTTGGCTAATTCATTACACAAGCTATTATTTTAAGCATTTAATTCACCCTATAAAAAGTAATAAATATTTAGCGTACGCACACTCTTCAACATGCTTGGTCGAGTTTGTACTTTGATTTGTGTTGTGGATCGCGAGATAAGCTTTTTAAAACTTTCTGAAGATTCCATATCAGAAATGATCGGA